GTATCTTTATGTTTTGAAAGAAAAGAATGACATTAATGCATATCATCATCATCACATCACATCATCATCATTACTCAGGTGGTTCATTTCCTAGGCAAAAAAAAAATGTCTTCAGTGTTGAATATCAATGCTATCAATAAAAATTTGAATGACGTGCATCAAATGATGCATGACAGATGGTGGTTCTGAGGAAGAAACACGTATAAAAACACAAACTTCCTTGAGTAATGTGTTCTGCTGTGACATGTAGAATTTAGAGCTTTTTGTCTACTGAAGGGAAAATGGAGCAGACGGTGGAAAAACCAAGAGAGCAAGAACTGAAAAGGAATTTGCTATAGGTCGTATGAGTCAAACGAGAAGGACTTAATATAAAAGTACTAAATAAGGGTAAGATGAAGTAAAATGTCACTATGACTGTGTAAAATGATGAATTGGTAAACATTGTTTAAAATATGCAAACTAAGTTTTAAAAAAGAATGGAGGGTACACATGCATGTATTGTTTGGTGTTGTTTGTAGATCAGCTTCACTCTTGAGTCAAGCACAACCCTTCCCAGCGCCTGGCCTGTTGTGGGCGCTCAATAAATATTAAACAATGAAGTAAAACCATTTTCAAAGGTTTGAAATTCACAGGAATCAATCATTTTTTATCATTTAAAATTTATTGAGGGTCAACAACAAGACTTAATCAACATATGCAGATTGGTTTTTTATAAACACACTTCAAACAAATCATTAAATACAATTGGGTCAACTAAGCTTTTTAGTTTTACTCCATTGATTTTTTAAAGTTTAAATTCCTTCCTTTTTAAAAAGAATTTTGGTATACAAAAAATATAAACCCAATCATTCAAATAAGTAGTACTGTCTCAGGGAAATCACTGCTCTAAGATATTTTTAACAATCACTTTAAACTCAGAATGAGTGTACAATAATTACACATCACAGATTAAAAAATAACCAGTGCATACACAAAGGCTGTGTACTGAGATAAAGGAGCATAATGGCTCACACACAATGTACTTGTTTTCCACCATTTATCCTGACAAATTTTAAGGCTCTTACAATTATATGGGTAACATAGTTTACAGAATCACATCCAACCCAAAGAAAGACAGAAACCTTTCATATGCATACAGATTAGATTGCTTATGTGTACTGAAACCTTTCTAAATTTAAAGAAAAATTGAATATCTTATAGACAAAGTCAACCTTGACATAGTTTTGATGTTTACTTTCATAATTTACACTTTATAAAGTGATGACCAATTTTTTCAAATTCATGTTATTGGTTAATAGGAAATCAAACATTGTTCTTAAAAAAATTGTCATGCGTCAAATTAACTGGGTTGTAAGTTCGTTTTGTTTAATAGGAGGATGAAATGCTACATATAATAACTTAGTTACAGCCTTTTAAAATTCACCTTATAATACTGAACTTTACATATACATTTAAGTGTACAGTTTGACTTTATTGCAATCTTATACAATAAGAGGCTTTCTATACAAGGCCTCCTGTAAAATAATAATAATCTAATGTAAGAAATACTCTGTTTAACACTGTGTATCAGAGTATCAGAAATTTTTCATTTGAGAAAAATATTAGCTTTTGATTCTTCCCTAAGTATATAAATTTATTTTAAAAGCAAGGATAAGGTATACTTTACTGAGTTTGGCACACGAATTTGCACAATTAAGCAATAATTTAACTATCTCTTTTCTTTTGCCTTGTTAAGAAGTTCAAATTAACTTACTTATAATTAATAAACTAAATAATTTCCATATCTTTGTCCATATGATTGTTCATCACACCCAACTTCTGAATAATAACCAACTATAAATATATGATAACTAATAGAGTTGTTGAATAATAATTACATTTTCTCTATTGTTTCTACTTTTGAATTAATAAGGTGAAGATTTAATCTAACTTTTTAACTTTTGCCTACATTTTTTGTTAGAACTTGACATTACAGAATATTCTTATAGCTACAAAATGTGTTCAGCATAAGTTGTTGAATCTGGCTCAGCTTAGACTTCTTTCTGGACCTTTTCTCTATGTTTGCAATCAACCAACAAATATTTATTGAACATACAATCAATTGATGGGCCACGGTGGGAGGCTCTTAGAACAAATCCTAAACATGACTTCAATAATTTTATGAATCAGAATGAATGACAGAAATAAAAACAATTCACAAATGATTAATTTGTGTCTCTTTTCCCCACTTTCCCCCTGCTTTACTCCAACCTTTCTACTGAGACCCAAAAGAATTGTCTTCACTGCTCTCTTCCTGTGCTTGTAGTGCTTCTTCTTTAGAGCAGCTGTTTGCTCTCCCTTAGCTAGCTCTAAGAAAACCACACCAGTTGTTTCTTTCGGAAGCAGAAAGATTGAAAGACAGGGAAGTATGATTTAAGACTGCAGGTCTACTTTGAAAAAGTACATAAAATCATCTAGTTTTAATAAATTAATTTTCAAAATGAGCATTACCTCATTGAACCACAATGTGCTATTTTGAGACACGTACATGAACTATAATGATGTATCTGTGCATGGCAGCACATAGCCATCACGCTCAACTTTAACACACTGATTCCTCCAATAAGCACAGCCATATAAGCTGTGGAAATGTCTTTTGAAAGCCATTCTGATACACGTCTATTGAGAGCCGTTCTGATACTCCTAAATAGAACCTTGTGGATGTCTTCCTAATTACATGACTTTTAAGTATAAGGATATAGAAAATCCTAATCTTCAAACCTATAATCTAGCAAATATATGATCTGCATGAAGAAAATAAAAATAACATAACCCATCATACACTAAAACTAAAATAGCAATTTGTGGAGTTCTGGACATCTTAGTTCCCCTAGTCTCCCCTTCTATGTGATGATGTCTCTTTTTTATAAACTAGGCTCATCAGAAATTAATCCACCATTTCTAAAGAGTGTCTGCCATAATGTAAAGTGGGCTTGAGTTAATGTATTCATGCATAGCTGGGATGCACCTATATCCATCAGTTCAATATGCACAACTAGAGTTTTAGAGTGCACAGCACATTGAAATCTGACAGGAATTAAGTAAATCATGATGTTTTCCCTAAAGAAATCCACAAGTTAAAACTTAAATGAATGAAAAAGTATCTTGATAATATTTGTTTTTTCTCAATGCATTATTTAGATTATAAATATTTCTGAAGCTAACTAAAGCTATGTAGAAAAGAAATGAAAACAGAGTTCTAAAAGATTCACTTAAGAATAAATATTAGAATTCTGTCATAAAACACATAGATCAAAGTTAGATTTTTTTCGCATGCAAACTCTCTGCTTTATTCAAGTTTTAAAAATATCTATCACCAGCTATTGGCATAAATAGACCACCACAAAAAGGCAATGTGTTTAAATATACTAAATTTGTCTATGTTTTAAAATATGAGAGCTCATTCTCATACATTTAAAACTGAAATGTTTTACAATTGTTATAAAAATAATTTCTTAACTTTATATTAGCATGCAATGCTAAATTTTAATATGGTAAAATGTAATTTTAATAAAATTATAATAAAAATAATCTGAAAGATTAAGTTCACATCCTAATGAACCATTGCCAAATTCATGAAACATCAGTGAGTTAATAAAAGGGACACTTTCTTAAATAAGCATTCAGTGTTCCTAGCAATTATGTTAGGTACCACTATTCTCCATTACTAGCCAGTCTACTTTTGACATGTGGTACTGTTTTAAAACGTTCTACTAGACTTGGGATACTGCATAATTATACATGCTTGGCATGTTTGAGGCCAAAAGTAAATCCTGAATACAAAAACAAAGCCAAACCAAAAACATAAAAAAGACAATGGTAAAATAAGAAGCAAAGCAAGCTATGATAAGTAATTGTTATGACTAGAGAACAGAAAACCATGATGTTCAGTGGACTACTGTATGCTATGATAATTTGTCAGAACTGTGAAAAAATGACCTAAATTAGTATATATGCAATTTAGGAATTTATAATTTGTTGTATCCTTTCATAAGATTTTTTTATTTGGGCTAAACTGTCTTTTGTCAGTAAAGCAGACTGGGAATGATTGTTTTCATTTCGACTAAGAAATTTCAATATGGAAAGCTGCATAAGTGAGCAAGCCAAAACATGATCCTGTGTTTGTGCTTTGTATTTTAGACACTAATGTAGACACTTTTCTCAAACAGAGTTGGCTGAAACATTGCATTGATTCCTTAAATTGTCGGTGGTACCCAGAAGCCAAATAAATGGAAAATTTTATCAGCATAATTATTATGCTATTTTCACTATAAAAGTCTTTAAATCTTTTAACTTAGTTGAGCTGCAGGAACAAGGACAATATCACTCTCAATGATAAGAGACCATGGTCAGGAGCATTTTAAAGCATATTCTGGAGTGATATTGTGGTATAGCTACATTAAACAATAAATATATAAATACTCATAAATTTATGACTTTATAATGTTTAATATTAAATTTTCAGGCAATCAGCCACCAAAGTCATCACATAAACTGTAATAAACTTTTGCTTCCCTTTGCCCCAGTGCCTTAACTTTAACAAATTCTTTTTAAAGCAATATAAATTAGTTTTCATAAATTGGGCCGAATTATGTTTATTCTTCAGGCTATCACCTGTGAGGTGGTACTGAAATCAAAACCCAAACAGAAAAGTGTCTACTCATTACCTAGCTCATTTTCTCATTATCAATACCCCTCAGCATCTCTGTGGTGCAATGAAGCAGTCGATATAGGTTTCCTGTTCTGATTTATACTCAAAGCTAAATACACAGAAGAAAGACAAGGCCAGATAGTTGCCTCACATTCTCCCTGTCCAAAAAAAAAACACATGAAAGGACATTGCTATGGAGCAAGAGATTTAAAGGTTATTGTCTTCTGCCTGTCTGAATCCAGTGTTTTCCTCCTCATGTTGTTTTCTTTCTAAAGAAGATAATGTCAACCTGCTTCACTTTTTTTTTTACCTTGCTCCACTGTCTTGGCTTTCTCTTCTTTCTTTCCGTGCGTGGCTGCAAAGCAAAGATAAGGTTGAAATAAGAATTTCAGTCTGAAATATTTATTCTACACATAAAAGCATTTGGGGATGCATTCAATACCAAATATTGCTTCTAAACAAGCTCTACTCTAATGCATTTAAAATATTTCTCATCTCTCTATAAAGCGATTGAAATCTGTTTTAAATCTTATCTTAAGGTATTAGTACCAAAAAAGAGAAGCAATAAACTCTTTGATTTCCACGCTGATTCTTCCATACTCTTTTCTACTTTATTCCTGTATGATGTGTTTTTATAAACAAGCTACAAAGAATTGTACTTGACAGGATTATGATTAATTGACTTACATTCCAGGTTATTGCTAGAGACACAATATCTTACAAATGTCAACCAGATGCACTTTAAAATTTAAACTTAGCATGTCTTCATCAACTGAGAGGACAGTCCAGTCACACCTGAGAAGCATTTAAATATTAAGGAAACCCATACCACATCACAAGGAGCCAAAAGAGATAACAGAATCATTTAAATCACTACATCCCCTGATTCATGCTTTCTCTAAGATTTATTGCTCTCAATCGAGGATTTGCTGTTTACCTAGTTAAACGTCAAATAAGCAGAAAATTTTCTTGCAAAATTAGTGCCTCCAGCTGAAGTAACTGATTCAAGAAGGGATCTTCAGAGAATTTGAACATCTACTAGCTGAAGAACTGATGTGGAATTGAATAATGTCATTACAACCAATCCTACGGAGAGTTGCAGAGGAGAAAATGCAGCTTTAAAATGAATAAGTGAGTCTGCCGCTGGCTTTGCTCATTTTGGAAACAGAAGTGTTTCATCACTGGGGGCCTCTATAGAGATGCTGCTTCCCGATGAGAGAGCATGCAATGTGTTGAATATTCTGCAGTGTTCTTGTCAAAGCATCTAATTGGAATTCAGTGAAACCAAAGATTCAGTTTTCATTTTAATCAAATGCCAGATGTAGTGAGCATGTCAAACAATATCTGAAAGAAGCCATCAAGTAAACAAAAATATCCATGGGTGACTACTTCTGAAGAAGAGAAACGTGGGAAAGAGTAGTGGAGAGAGGAAGATAGGAGGGGGCCAGTAAAGAATGAAGGAAGAAAACAAGAAAAATAAACAAAGGAGGATATGATGGATTTTGTCCTTCTATGTATCCCCTTAAAAAGAAAACACACTCCAAAGTTTGAATATTTAATTGTTATAAAAAAAGAAGTAGGTTTTAAAGAATCATTATTCTAACCCACAAATGAAACTCTTGAGTGAGGAAAACGTTCAGTTCCAAAGCAAATTAGAATTTCCAAGTCTCACAAATCCCATTTCTAGAAACATCTTCTGAATAGGGAGGACTTCCAGGGGCATGCCAATTAGGGCTGTGCTTTTATTTTCTATTCCTGTTAAACTAAATCAGTGTTAGATTAGGACAATTCAAGGAGTGTAGGAACTGACTTCCATCTAGGACAGGAGCCTATTGCATTCCTACAGTGACAAATTCTCACAACTGAATTGTAGTTAAGAAAAAAGGAACCCATGGTTTGGATTTGTATTATAATTTGTACAGGGGTCATGTATCCCAGAAGAGTGAACAGGCTCTCAGGTATACATTCCCACTTTGCCATATAACTGTTGTTTCAATGATGACACCTTATCTAATCTTTAAGTGATAATGCAGGTAGTGATTCTAGTGTTGTACTGAGACACAACACAGAAACAAAAACAAAATCTGATCACTTATGGCAATTGTAATCCATATTAGGTAGACGTCACCTTTTCTTCCTTCCTTCCTTCCTTCCTTCCTTGCTTCCTTCCTTCCTCCTTCCCTTCCTTCCTTCTTTTATCTTTTTTCGTTCTTTCTTTCCTCATTTCTACATTCCTTTCTTAATTTCTTCTTCTGTTTTGATCTGCCTTAAATAAAATTATTCTTTTTACACAAAAAGCTCTATTAATTTCCAGTACTATCTAAGGATATATAAACATAATTAATTAAGATAAGAAATAGATTAAACAAAGTTACAATTAAGTATTAATATATTAATTCATACAGAAATAATACCTTAGAAATCAGTCAAGATAGACTAAAAAAGAAGAAATATTCAATAGCTTAACAAACAAAAATGAAGTGGAATTTAATGTAAATAATACTAGATTTTTAAGTAGGAGAATAACAACAATGAAAATGGCCTAATTTGAAGAAAAATGGTTCAGAGACCAAGAAATGTTGGCACTGCTGGTCAGATTATGTAAAAACAAGGTTCAAGCTTAAATAAACACATTTTCATTAGACTGTTACCCAAATAAATACTTAAGTTTTTATTTCTTTAGTGCACATATACTATTTTGTTATATGTATATTTCTGCTCTTGATTAAAGTATTGTGTTTGTAAAATTTAAAAATGTAATATATAATTAAGAAATACAGCTTAAAAGATAGTCATCCATAATAGTCAAGTTTGTAGTCATGTTAATTAGGTTTTCTAACAGAGATATATTTCTAATGTATAAGTATTCTTCAAACCTTTCAAAGATTTACAGAATATGGCATTTAGAACATTTTGAAAACTTAGGACTTTTCATGACAATGAGACACATCTACTCCTGGCAGCACCAATTACTTCAAGAGGATGATGAGCATTGAGGAGGCTCCTTATGGAGTTTGCTAGACATTTGGTCAAGAAACTGCTCTTGCCTGTACTATTTGATGGTATGCCGTATAAACTGGACATGCAGGACCCCCCAAAAAGAGTGAAAGCTGAAATTGCCTAAAGAAGGTGAGATAGTCCTTTTGGGTTCTTGCTTCATGAATAAATCTGCCAGACATTCTACAGGATACAGAAAAAAGTGACAGACAAACTGCCAATAGAGACAAAACAGTCTTTCAGATTTCTCACCGCATGGAAAAGTCTGCCAGATACTATGGACCTGTAGACTGAAGACTGATGCCCCAAGGTTACAAAAAAAAACTTTGGGTGACTGTCCAGACACTGAGATGTGTATGTCAAGTCTAGAGTTTTGTATGTTGCTTACAATTTACTTCCTGTTTATTTAGGTAATATTATATCCTTCTGGAGTCTTTGATGAAGTAGAAGACAATTAGTTACAGTTTTCCTTAGTTTTAACAAAAAATAAAATAAGATATGAAACTTTAGACTTACAAAGAAATATTATAACTTCAATTCTAGTCAAAATCTTCCTTTTTAATTAGACTGAAAAAAGGATATTATGTGGGATATCTTTCTGTATGCATGCTGCTTTTATTGGTTGATGAAGAAAATTGTTTTGGCTAATGACTAAGCAGGGTAAAGCCATGAAAGAAATCAGAACAGAGATATAAAGAAAGAGTAGGTGGAGTCAGAGAGATGCTATTTACCTGCCAAAGGAGACAGTCACTGGAATGTGACCCTGTAAGCCACAGCCTCGTGGTGATATACTAAATAATAGAAATGGGTTATTTTAAGATAAAACAACTAACTAGAAAGTTGCCTAAGCTATTGGCAAGCAATGTTGTAATTGATATAGTTTCTGTGTGATTATTGAGGTCTGGGTGGCAAGGAAATATATGAGCAGTCTCTGCCTACAAACCTGTTCAGTTCATATAATTTTATTCATAGGTATGAATTTACGGTTGATTATCTCTCACTACCTTATGCTCTCAGAACACTTCATTAATGAAGATGGTTTTTTTCAATTAATATATCAAAGCAGCAAGAAAAATGAAAATTTATTATTTACTACATCAAGGATAATCTTAGTATCTGAAAAGAAAGTAAATTTGTATATCCAGCACAGAGGAGAATTTGTTAGTAAAAAAACCACAGAGGATAAGTATAAGTGAGGTAATTCCTTACACTCACCTCAAGTAGAAAGTATTAGCTTCTAAAGAACTATGTTTCATTGTATGTTCAGAGTACCTTCTAGAACCAAGAAGACTAGCCAGTAGGGATTATGGATATATGTGTGAACCAACTTGAATTCTCCATGATAAATTAGGCATGTAGGTATTGTCTACAGCAATGGGAACTTGCAGTCAGTTTGAGAGCAATAAATAGATTTGGAAACAGCCTGGCTTTTTTGTTTGGGATTCCTATTAGTAATCTTTGGCCAATAACTTAATTGTAGTAATAAGAGCTGCGGGGCTGCGTCCCCGGCACCCGGCTGCCCCCACGGCTAGCTTTACCCAAAATAATTACACGGACACTGTATTCTTTTAAACACTGCTTGGCCCATTCTCTTCTGGGCTAATTCTCACATATTAATTTAGCCCATTTCTAATCATCTGTGTGTAGCACCCCAAGGTGCGCTTACCGGGGAGATTCTAGCCTATGTCCATCCTGGGTTGGAGCTTCATCCCGGGAGTGGGGCATGGCGTCTCTCTGAGGCATCTGCCCCCGAGAGGAGAGCTGTGGAGTCTGACCTCACTTCCTTTTCCTCCCAGCATTTTGTTCTGTTTACTCCACCCACAGGGCCAAGCAGTTTCTTTATTGCTTAACCAATGAAATCAACAGATTGATATATGACACTCCCACATCACTTAATAGATGAAACTCATTCCTGCTCTTGTAAGCTTCCTTTTGTGTCAAGAGTTAGTCAGAAATTGGGAATTGATCAGCCTCAAAACCCAGATATATCACTCTTCGGCATATACCCAATGGATGTCCCATGCTACTATAAGGACACTTGCTTACCTATGTTTATAACTGCTTAATTCATAATAGTCAAAACTAGAAAAAAATCTTAGATGTCCCTTAACTAAATAATTGAAAAGAAAAATGTGGTAAATTTACACAGTGGAATATTACTGAGCCTTTGGGAAAAACTAACATCATGAAAATCATAGGCAAATGGATGGACTTTTTTTAAAAAAATTATCCTGAGTGAGGCAACACAGAACCAGAAAGACAAACATGATATATACTCACTTATAAGTGGGTATTAGAAATAAAGTAAATGATAACCATGCTACAACACACAGACTCAGAGAAGTTAGATGAAAGGAG